TAGATTACAAAACTGTGGCTTGTTACACTGAGAGCACACTTAGAACTTGGGATGATTTCGTTCTTCCCTCTGCTTATTACGCCCGTAAAAAGAATGTTTCACTAAAACAATTACAAGCAGCTATTCTTTAGAAGGACAAAGTTTTATTTCAAGGTTCTTACTTTTACCTTTTTTAGGTCAAACACTTGTCTTTGCTCATACCTATAAATGTGTGTGTTTATTTATATATATCTGTGCCAATGCAGCAATATTTATGGAAGAGTGCCTTTTGGGAAATTGTAATAGATTCTGTTTAGAGATAGAAGCTCTTGGGACAGAAGTTACAAACTGGTAGCCTCTGGGCTACAATAGACTCACAGAACCTGCCTTCATTTGTCCTGCCTGGTGCTTTATTATTGCTGCTGCTGTTGTTTTTACTTCATCTTTAGAAATCCGGAGATTTCACACAGAAATCCAGATTTCTGTCTTCTCCTGAAAAATCTGGAGACACTGTAAAAAATTGTGTGCCATTCAAACACTGGGGATGCTGTGATTTTAAACTGCAAATGGCAACAATTTAAAGGCTTCCATCCCTTCATTTTGATGTTTCTCTTCCGTATCAAATGGTGTAAAGTACAAGCACTAAAATGCTTACCCAGAATGCTCCCTGGCTTAATGGGGTATTACATGCCATCTTATTCCACCTGTAATTTCCCCCCCAATTTCTATGTTATATCAATTTTTCCTTCATAAAGTTTTTCACACTTGGGCCTATTTTCTTCCTCTCCTTGTTATGACTTTTATCCAGGTTGTTTTCCTCACTTCTGGGCTCCTGAATGAATGCATTGCTGTCTTAGCCATCACTGTCCCTCCTGCTTTAAACTTGCCTCTGCCTGTCCCTTCCCGCTCTGCACATCAGTGAAAGATTATATCCCCAAATCCCCCTTCAGTATATTCGTCCCTGCCCTGAGACCTGTCGTGACAACCCAGAACCTGCGTCCAGCGACTTAACCTGTAGTCCGAACTCAGTCTGTTCGTTCCCCATACACAGATGACTAGCCGGAAGGCCCATTTCCCTTGTACCAAAGCAGGGGTCTTCCAGCCCCGATGCCTCTACTCCTAGTCATCTATCTCCTCCTCTCCACCTGCGCAAATAGATCCTGAGCTCCTTTAAAACCTCCTTTCTTGGGGCGCCTGGGTGGCTCAGCCGTTAAGCGTCTGCCTTCGGCTCAGGTCATGATCCCAGGGTCCTGGGATCGAGCCCCACATCGGGCTCCCTGCTCTGCGGGAAGCCTGCTTCTCTCTCTCCCACTCCCCCTGCTTGTGTTCCCTCTCTCACTGTGTCTCTCTCTGTCAAATAAATAAATAAATAAAATCTTTAAAAAAAAACAAAAAACAAAAACAAAAACCTCCTTTCTTACCTATTTTGGTCCACCCTTCTACCTCATGATTCATCTTGCCCCATATGTATTTTAAAATTATATTGTGTTTCTCTGATGGTCTTAAAACAGTTTCTCCATGTAAGGTCTGTGCATATCTTACTTCAGAATCACCTGTCTTGCTCTTCAGCATTTATTCCTGGGCTTCCTATATACTCTTGAATTCCTTAAGTTGGGGCCCAGGAATCTGATAAATCTCAAATTTGGAAAATCTGGCATTTAAAGGCAAGATGACTAATAGTGGTACAAGATTGCCTGATGGTTTGATAGGAAATCAAACAAGATTCAGTTAATTTTATAGTGATTGCATTTTCAGGCCTACCAACGTGTTTCTCAAACACTTTTTACTCTTAATTGTTGTTAGCAGCTCTGGGTGTGGCTTTCGCCAGCTCTTTGACACCGTGACTGAGGCCTTCAGGCACATGAGATCCATCCCCATCCGAGAGCCAGTGGAAGGTAAATAAGAGCCTCTTTGCCTTTCAGGCAAAAGCAAGACAATTAGATAAACCCCTTGAGTACAGGACCGTGTTTGTTTTTCTATTTTTTTTTTTTTTAATGGTTCTCTACATGCTCATGCTTTGTTTCCAGTAATGCCATGATTAAGAAATGTTGAATCACATCGGATAAACTGAATTAATGTTTGAAGTTGAGAAGTTAGAAGGAATATCAGTTCTCAGGTTGAGAGTGAGTGGTAACTCCTGTGGGTCACATGCTCACTCTGAGGCCAGATGCTCAGGTCATTGCTTTCTGTAGGTGAAACCAGGGGAGGCTTGCCCCAACCCTAATTAGGCATTGCTGGGATTCCCTCCATTGTAACAACAGGGAGCATTCAGCTGGACTTGCAGGGGAAGGCAAGAGACACATTGCTGTGAGAAGCAACTACCTTTGTCATTCATGAAAAAAAATTGAATAACTTTAAAGTATCAGATTTCATTTCTTTGAAAGTGAGGGGTTGATAAATTTAAAATATGGATTGATAACCCCTGGAGGAGTCACTGTGACAAAGTGGATGAAGGCCAGGAATGGAATTTAGAACTGGGTTCAAGATTCAGTTTGCCATGGGCGCCTGGGTGTCTCAGTTGTTTAAGCATCTGCCTTCCACTGGGTCCTGGGATCAAGTCCTGCATCTGGCTTCCTGCTCAGCAGGGACTCTGCTTCTCCCTCTTTCTCTGTTCCTTCTTCCTGCTCGTGCACTCTCTCTCTCTCTCTCCCCCTCACTCTCAAGTAAATAAATAAATAAAATCTTAAAAAAAAAAGATTAAGGCTGCCACTTAACTATTCTGCCAGTTTGAGCAGATCCAAAGTCTCTCTGAACTTCAGTACTTTAATCTGTAAAATGGGGATAATGCTGCTGCATAGCCAATTTTTGTAGGGACTAAATGAAGGAATTTATGTAAAATACTATAAAAATATGCAGTGCTGTTACTATTACAGATGGTTCAAAGTGTGAATCAAGATCTCAAAAAACATAGTTACATTATTTTGAATCATGCCTTAAAAAGGGAAAGAAACCCCACAGTAATAATGAAATCTTATCCCCATAATCTCACAAAGCAAGTATCATGGTCCCTGGCTAAGTAAGGAATCTGAGGCTCAGGGAGGTTAGGTAAACTGCCACAGTCATGCAGCTGTTAAATAGCTGCGCTGAGATTTAAAAACCACACCTGCCTGCTTTAGATGCTCTGTTCTTCCTACTGCTCCAGTTTGCCTTAAAAAAAAAAAAAAAAAAAAGCCAGCACATATACTTTTTCTTAACATTAAAAAAAAAAAAAAGACATTTATGTTCGAAAACTAACTCATCCTGATAATTCCCAATTAAGATGTTGTCATCTAGCATCTGGCTCAATTTCCTTTTATGAAATATAGTAAACATAATTTGAGTATAGCTTAAATGAAGTGTCCAAATGGGATAAAACAGGTCACCTGGGAAATTAGATTTTATAGATTACAAGAATTCAATGCCTAAATCGTACTTAATGGAAGCAATTTAAAAAAAAAAATTCTTCAGGAGACAATTGACTGTTCTATCAATTTTACCGTTACTTTTACGTGAGACATCTATAGCCTGGAGCAACTAAAGCAAAAATAAATAATATAAACTTCACGCTAAGTAGTAGTGAAGAACACCTGTGTCTTCATGGGTTTGAGGTTCACAAGAAAAACCAAGGGGGATCTCTGACTCAAGTTCAGTTTTTTTACTTCCACATTGTATTTTAAAACATCCTATTTAAAAATATTTAATAAAGAGAAGTTAGAGAATTTTCTTGCCCTGTGACTTTTTGAAATCGTTTTGAGTCTGTACCAGCCTTTATCCAGAAACAGAGTCTGCAATAAAGATGAGAGCTCCAGCCATTAATTTTGATTACTGGGTCATCCGGCCGAAGAAATGATCTTTTTTTACAAAGTCAACGCTTTTTGAATGAGGGTGGGATTAAGGATAAGAGCGGATGTGAGGGTGTGAAGGCGGAGGTGTTGATTTAAACAGTGTAGAAAAGCATCTGAGCACTACCATGCCCTGACAAGTAACTTAAGTATCTTTCCTTTGAAACACTGTGCAAGCCAGTGGTAAAATTCACATACTATAGAGCTGCACAGTCTGGGATCAAATCCCAGCTCTGTCACTTAATGATTTTGTGATTTGAGGCAATTTTACTTGAACTCTCTGAAATTCTCTTTTTTCATCTGAAAATTAGGAATAGTTACTGCTTCCTCGGATGGGTATGATGACTCAGCATAATCCTCGATACACATTGTCAGTGTGGTTGATGTCATTATTGTTTTGGTGTTGTAGAGCTTCCTCGACATAAACATTCAAGTCCCCCATGACCTTATAAAACAATTTTGAGGAATGACAACTACTTAGGCGTCTCTTTACAATTGGATAGATTCATGCAATAGTCTACAAGGCACATATCTATTGAGATAAAATGTTAATTCAGTTTTCTTTAGGAGGCATTAAAGATAGTCATAAAACGAAAAGATTATAAAACCAAACCTTCTAGTAAATAATCACGAGTTTCTACATATTTTCAAAAGCGCACAAATTTGTACTCATCTTAGGAGAACATATCGATTTGTGTGCATATTTCAAGCAACCATCTTACCCATGCTAGGCCCGTGATGGACAGCATTCTCCCCTGGGAAGGTGGCTTCTCTAATTGCAGTGAATTGTGATTCTATTTGTAGACATTACTTCCTACAGCATGCATTTCTTTCTGTGATTATTATTTAAAAAATAATTCTCCTCAAATTATTTAGTCTTCTTGGCTATAAACGAGAGCATTCAACAGCATAAGAACCTCACAGATAATACGCATCTGGGTTGAAAATGTGTATTTTCTTATCAACAAAATAATCAGTGTTTACTGCAGCATAGGGAATACAAAAAGCATTTCAATACTAAAGACATTAAACTACCACTTAGGCCAAAGGAAAAAAAAAGAAAAAGAAAAAAGAAAATCAGAAGTACTAACATTATTTGAACTTCTGGGACATTTTCCTCCTTCTCCCACACTACCCCTTGCTAATAAACAAAAGCACAATTTTTCACATTGATAGAAAATGAACAGCAAGAGGACTTACCTTCCTTTAACCAAGAAATGTTATTTTTATCATTTTCAAAATGCTCAGCTGTTCTTACTTTTATCTTTTCCAGCTCAGTTTCTGACATCTAAGTGGAAACAGAATTTGTGATATAAAAAATTCATTAAGAACCCGAATTTATAACATTGAGCTTTATATTTAGAGACTACTGCCATATTATAGGAAAATTTTATCTCTCTAATTTTTCAGCTCGCTGTCTAATGTTAAGTCTTACATTTTATCCATTTGTAGTATTTTAAAACATTGACAGTGAGAACTAAACTTTATATGATAGTTCATTTTTCAGCAGTAAGGATGGCTATAAGATCTAATAATTTCTGAACACAAAAGAATAACAGATTAACAACTAGTCACAGATTTGTAAAAAAAAAAACACATTCAGTTGCTGTTTTAATGTCTTTTTTATAGTCTATAAAAAAGCATGCTGCAAAGTGATATACAAAGATATAACCAATAATAAAACTCAAAAGGACCTTTTCAGCAATTTATTGGATCCAGTGAGAACCTTACAACTAAGTCAGGCCAAGTGGAGCTCCCTGAAGGTGCTGAGACCTATTAGTGCACCTTCAGTGCATTTGCACTTGACTTGAATGGCTTGCTCGCGGTGAGCTAGGACACTCCACTTGAATCAGCACCTCAGTGTAATTTACCTGAGTGTTCCCAAAGGAGGAGGCCCAAGGCATGGGACAGGGGAGCAGCCTGGCGATGCTCTGGGCAGCCTTCCTTGTTGTCTCTGGATGTCCAGCATTCCTCCACCCTGCCAGAAGTGAGCAGAGAAGTAAATATGCTCCCTCCCTGGGTGGTGCTAGATTTGTCTTGCTGCCAGAAGCATCTAACTTACGGCTGAGAGGGTTCAAAACAATAAAAACCTTTTCCAGCATAGCACTTATTTAAAATGACACTCTGCAAAATAGGGTACAAATAAAGAACTCTTTTCAAATTGACCATTTCTCCAGTCCTTTTCCTTCCACACCCACCATTCATCACTTAGGGGGTTAAATGTGAAGGACGTGGAAAAAACATATGGAAAAATAGACATGGACTATGTGGGTTAAAAGAAAAGGAAGGGAAATCTCTACAAAGTTGTATTCTCTAGAAGTCCATCCTGCAGCTGACATTTTGAAAAGCAAGTTTTTCTAACATTTTTTAGGCAACAAGAAAACATTTCAAGTTTTTTTTTTTTTTTGAGAGTCTGCACATATTCCAAAAAGGAGTTGGAGTAACATTTTAAAAGAGGATTTGTCATTAGATTCTTAGTCGAAGATCATATAATTTTCAACCTGAAGTTAACAACATAAAGTATGATCCTTAGTTATGCATGATGATAAATAGTCCATCATTCCTAAATGTTATCTTTTTTTTTTTTTTTCCATCATGGAAAATAATCTTTATTTTTTGGCCCAAAGTGGTTTTCCTCCTCCAGTGTCCCTGGACAACTCTGCTATTTGATCACCTCGCACCCATTTCATCTCCTTTACCAACTTCGTTTCTTGTACTTTGCTTCCAGTTTCATCATCTTTAAAAACTCCCTTGATAATCCAGTTCTCGTACTAAGACAACTTTCACTTCCTCCCATTGTCAATAAGATAAAATCTTCAGGCATCTAAGGAAGGCCTCGAATGGTCAGATTCTATATAACATCAGGTTGAGACTGTGGCTACAAGTCTCAATAGTTCTCCAGGTGCCTAAACTTTTATTCCAGCCTAACTGTAATGCTCCTGTTCCTTGAACTTGCCTACTTCTGTTATTAACATTCCAGAGATGTTTCCTCAAAATCCCATTTCCACTCCCACCTTGAAGCCTTCTTGATGCCTCTCACCTGGAAATGATTGCTCCCTACTCTGATCCCACTTGGGACTCCTGGTGTAATCATCTCTATTTTGGTCTCACGTAAATCTGTCTTATCTTCCTCCCAAGACTATAAACCCTGGGAGGGCTCAGCCTAGATCTCAGCATTTTCTGTATCTTGCGCAGTGTGTGGCTTCTCTAATTGCAGCGAATAGTGATTCATTACTATTACTTCCTACAGCATGCATTTCTTTCTATGATTATTATGTAAAAAATACTTCTCAAATTATTTCGTTTTCTTGGCTATCAAGGAGAACATTCTACAGCATAAGAACCTCACAGATAATATGTATCTGGGTTGAAAATGTATATTCTACAGATTAATAATGAAATAAAACCAGCATACACAATTGGTGGTGTTTTCCTTTGTCCCAAAGTCTCAGTTAGGATACACCTATTAAAAAATTCCTTTAGGTTGTCTCTTTTCTATAGTTAGGGCATTTTTTTTTCTAGTCCAATGAAGTTGGATTTATTGGCCTGTGGCAATGAAGAGGGCACACCATTGGAAAAGTGGGCTTCTCAGTAAAAGAAAATGAAAGTGGACTTATTAAAGTGTTTGAGCAAATGTTAGATTAGGGGAGGGATTAAGAAAGTGGAGTTTCGCTCGTAAATGGGTATGTTCTATTGTAGCATTTTATGTCCCTTACTCATTCATTTGGTGACCTAATCTGATTTCCTTAATAGTTTAGACATTGTCCTTTGGAAAAGCATATTATCTAAAAATTTATGTATTAGTGGGGCCTGGAAGAAATTTTGTAAATAATAGTTACGACAATCTTAAAACAGTGAACAGAGACAGCATGGAAGGTAAGAAAAGGTAAGGCACAAATAGCTAACAGAGAAGAGACAGTCAAGCAACCAGAAGGGAATAATGAGTGAGCAGGAACACTGTTTGAATGTATTATTCTTCCTAGTTGATTTTCAGTTACATTTTTATATTAGACTGTACGGTTAATAAAACTTTTTTTAAAAAAAATTCAAAATGGAGTTTGGATCTTTCTAGGGTTACAAGTCATCTAACCTCTTTTTCCATGTAGTTCTAAGGCAGGGAACCCATTTTAACCTGTCAGTCTGTGATGCTTCCAGGGTCAGATCCTGTGGTCATTTTTTATGTATTTTATTTCATCTAAACTATTTTCCAGTTATCTGTCCCAAGAGCAGTCCATAACTCAAACTCCTGTCCATGTTTCTTACTTTGGAGATTACAGATTACTCTTGCTTCTGGTTTATTCTCTGATTATCCTTGATAGCTACATCTTTTCTATTTGTTTCACTTTTGCAGTTATTATGATACACTTACTAGAGAACCAGTGTTAAGTAAATTGCAAGCTTTAAAATCCCTTTGCAAGTGTTGTCCTGAGGAGGGAATTTTTATGAAGATAAAATGCATTTCTAATTTGGAAATACCTAATTTTGGCCAATATTATTTCCAACATGTTCTAACACTTGGAATATTTATTATTTTCTTTTATCCATTTTCTTTGCTTAGCCTCTCACTGCCCTCTGATTTTCGCTTTGCCTTTTCAATTGGCTTTGATCTTTAAGAGTGTTTGACATTAGTTGAATTTTCTGTATGGAATTTTGTTTTATTTTGAGAAGCACCGTTTTTTGAAACCAGACAACTCATTTTGAATTCTATTCTTGTCTTTGTTTTAGCAATCATTATGAGACCTGTAGATGTTAATAAGCATCATATTCAATTTCCTTCATCTACTTTATCAGTAAAGATGGTAAGAATAGGCACCAAGTACTTTTTCCCGCATCAAATGTGTATCACTAGTGTTCTTGTGAGCGAGACATTGCATTAAGGGTAGTGCATACTCGTGCCAACCTTTAAACCATTTATTCATTCACCTAGAGATGTCCTTAGGCCACAAAAGCCTTGGGATGAATGAGATAAATCACAATTGGGTAGGAAGAGAAGAGAAACCAAGTCTAGTGAATCTCAGACCTAGCATGGAAACAATAGATGGTCCAAAATGAAGGTAAAAAGTGACAAACCAGCCTCAGAAGTCAGTCTGGTTTTACTAGAATTCAAAGAGAACATATTTAAAAAAGAACCTCCTCCCAAATTGTGTTCATTGTGTCTACTTAAAATAATGAGCTAAACAATTCAAACCTAAGGATATGATTTCAAGCCTCAAGTTTTCTTGTTAAATTCTGTTTTGGTTTTCTTTTCTAAATAGGGATAGTTTGAATGTGCTCTTTTTATAATTCCATTCCTTTTATTTTGACTCGTGCATCAGTATTTCTAGTTCCTAGTCAAAATCTGATTAAAGATAGAAACTTAAAGGACAAACTATCCAGCAGAAGGCAATCTTTGCCAAGAGAAAAACCTATACTGATTGTATGTTTCATGTTCTTGTTTCTGTAAAAAGAAAATAATAAAATTGAATGCATGAAGCTAGAGCGTTCCTTAACAGACAAATGATTATTGCTATCAGCAGCAAAGGCAGTCCTAAGAGGGAAGCATATTACAATACAGACCCATCTCAAGAAGCAAGAAAAGTCTCAAATACACAGCCTAACCTTACACCTAAAGGAACAGCAAATAAAGCTAAAGCCAGCAGAAATAAACAATATAAAAACAAACAAACAAAAACCAGTAGAATGGATTAACAAAACTAAGAGTTGGTTCTTCGAAAGAATTAATAAAATTGATAAACCCCTAGCCAGACTTACCAAAAAGAAAAGAGAAAGGACCCGAATAGATAAAATCTTCAATGAAAGAGGAGAGGTCACAACCAACACCACAGAAATACAAACAATTGTAAGAGAATACTATGAAAAATTGTATGCCAACAAACTGGGCAACCTGGAAGAAATGGACAAATTCCTAGAAACTTAAGAACTACCAAGTAATTATGTGCTCTCAGATTAGTCTTTTTTGTTGTCTTCAAGATCATTACATTGTCACTTGCTCTTTTTTCTAAAACAATGAAATTGTATGTGTAATGAGACAGTATGATATTTATCAATGTGAAGAGAAGTTACCAATGCAGATTTTTGGATTTGAGGTATGTAATTTGTAGAGCAGTTTTTCTGAAGGATTAGTGGATTGGATCCAAATGGAAATGTTATAGGAAGTTGTGCTATTCTTTGGCAGTATGTTTTCTGCTATAGAATGGAATCTCTGTATTATTTAGTACAGTTACTTAAAACGTTTTCAATAACCATTCTAACGACCGATAAATGCCATCAAGTATTTTGCATTTTTAA